TAATAGAATCATGGAATCATAGAATCATTGAGGTTGGAAAAGATCATCAAGTCCAACTGTCAACCCAACAACACCATGCCCATTAAACCATGTCCCGAAGTGCCATGTCTACACATTTTTTGAACACTTCCAGTGATAGTGACTCCACCACTTCCCTGAGCAGCCTGTTCGAATGCTTGACCACTCTTTCAGTAAAGAAATTTTTGCTCATATCCAATCTAAACCTCCCCTGGAGCAACTTGAGGGCATTTCCTGTTGTCCTAAATCTCAGCTCCGATGCCTGGAGCACCTCCTCCCTCTCCTTCTTCACTGACCTTGGTGTCTGCAGAGTTGTTTTCACATTCTCACTCCTCTATCTGGCTGCAAATGCAGTGAGCTGTTGTTTTTTCCCCTTCTAATCTATGTTATCCAAGAGGTGCTACCACTGTTGCTGATGGGCTTGGGCTTGGCCTTGGCCAGTGGCAGGTCTGTCTTGGAGCCGGCTGGCGCTGGCTCTATAGTTTACCCTAAGGCCGTATCTCCTTAGCTATGTAGTCTTGTAACTTGGACTGGGGGTCAAGGTGGTTGTGCAGTTTGGACAGTGACCCGTGCACATGAACAACGTGTGGGGTGTACCTGAATACCCCAGAAGCGTACTCTAGACCTACACCTCCCCACGTGTGATTGCATCACTACTTTGACAATGTTTTCTGCTGCACGGGACATAGCTGAGTAATTTCTAAGGGAAGGACAAAAGAAAAAAGGAACTGAAAGCTATGAGAGAGACTTTCTAAGACCATGAGGGCTGCTTTAGATGTTGCAACCTGTGGAAAATAAGGCAGCAGCAAGGCAAAACAGGGGAAGGACTTCAATATACGTGGTTCCCATAAGCAGCTTCATCTATTTTGGGGGAGCTAGTAATAATGTCAGTAACACAAGGAGGTATGATTCTGGCTCTATTGCAACTTTTGTGCTCCTGCAGCTTGATCATCCTCTTACAGACACTAGAATTAAGCACATCATAATCATTGTCTTTCTTTTTACTTCCTGCTCTCTCATGTTGCTGTTATTACAAAATGTTGCAATATTCTTATGAGTTCTCTGAAGTCATAGTAGCCTAGTAGTGAAAACATGAGATAACATCAACGCATAAAGTGAAATAAACACTTAAAACTGCATGATGTCTGTAAGAGGAAATTAAATTATTATTTTACATCTGGTCCGGTAAATAGCATGTAGTGTAATAAATGGCAAAAATGCATTAGTTAGTGGTGGGGATACACTGTTTTACCGTGGATTATTGAGGTTCTGCTGTACAAAAGAATGAAAGAGAGTTTAAGTATGGTTTTGATAAAACATTATGTCATGGAACCTGCCCTTTAAATGAATTTTTTTTTCAGCATAAACTTTTTTTTACCTTGTAGTTATAAATTGCTCTCTTAATTATTCCTTTCCTGTTTCCACAGTCTGACCTTTTTCTTTCCTGGTCCTTCTCAAAGCATGTCCTGATCGGTACACACTCTACAGATCCCGTTGTCTGCTGCAGCACATTCTTTCAGCTGCTTCTTTTTCTTGGAGGCTTCCTCTCTGTTTGCCTTTTATCATGTTCATTCATTTTTCTCTTTCTTTTCTCTGGGGAAGCCTATAAAGATATTGTTAGAGAAATATGATAAATTCCTTCAAGCAGATAATTTAAAATTAATATCTGGCTTGCTTGGTAAGTGGGACAAGGAAAAAAGTAAGTTTTGATACATCAGAATGCATCTGGTAAAGTCTTAATGCAACAAGAAAAAACATCCACCTGTACTTCTGGGAGCAATGGTCAGCCCTCAGCTCCCTCAGCAATAAATCTGGCTTCAGCTAAATGAATTTCATGTTCCACCACTGTATTTTATTGTTCCCTTAGGTTAACTAAAACCATTGCTTTTGCTGCTGCTGCAGTCAATGATGTTATAGACCTTTATACTTTGGTCTGAGCCAAAAGATTGCCGTTAACTATGGGTGATGATGAAGAAGAAAAGTCAAACCTCTTTTTCTGCATCATTTAATCTCACCTTGAATTATCTGTATGTCACCAGAAACACATCTCAGATGTTATCTCTTCACTGATCTGCTTATTTATGTGATTCCCACATTATCTTCCAAATAGACAACTATCTGGAGATTTCTTAACGATTTTTTGTAAAAAATTGCTAAAAACTTTTTCTTGCAGCCCCATTACAGTATTCTTTTAATGGAAAAAAAGGGTGAAATCAAGTGTCTTCAACACTGATATGCACTGATATATATGCTTATATGTATGATACCTAAATAAATGACTGGAAGATAAGTAGCAAAGCTAATACTAGAAATTCCTTCTTTTTGTTTGTATATAATCTTTTTCTAATACCTCAGCTTCTAATGCTTCCCAAAATTTCTTCTGCTTTGGAATAAATGCTTTATTTCTCTGGGTTTTTTTCTCTGGTTTCCATTGTTGCAGGTAAATCGGCAAACAGGTTTGCTGAGACAGTTTGACAGAATTCTCTCAGCTTGTGAGAAGCTGATTGCAAAAGAGGAAAACGTGTTTCAGACCTGCTGCTGACAGTTGTCACAGAGATGGGAGGCATGGGTTATCCTCCCCAAAATAAGCCTGTCGATTTAGAGGCTATAATGAAGCTGACCATCAGTAGGCTTGCTGCCTTACGCTGACAAGGGATGATTGGTAGAAATTGAGAAAGATCTGTTTTAAGGAGAAGGAATCAAGAGTAAAAAGTTTCTACCAGAGACTTCACTTCTCTTAGGAAGAAAGGGACTCTCAGCGTGTCTGGCCCTGCCAGGGACCAGGGAAAAGCTACCAGCCCTTTGTCGCTGCAGAGCAGGCAGAGTGCTGACTGATCAGCGGCCAATGTCGGCTTAAGATACTCCTTCCTATTAAGTTTAAAGTTCAAGCTGTGCTAAGTTTTCAAGCCACATGACCAATTTGCTACTGGTATGAGGAGATGAGAATCCATTTGCTTCTATGGACTGACCTACATTTATGCTGGTGGTGAATTAGGCAAAATATATTCATTCCGGCTTGGTCACAGAACCTTTGATTACATTATGTTTTTCTCTATTTTCTCATGAAGGGCTACATCTGGTCATGTAGGAATAGCTTGTAACAACACTGAAATATAAATTATTTGATGAACTACTTAGGACTATTCACTTAATGCATGATAATCCTGTGAACATGTTAACGAGCAGCAATTCTCTGATGATTAAACTGCTTTAAAATGTCTTTGTACTCATATGTCATTAGAATGAACTTGGCACTTCTAAAACATCCATTATTCATCATGTTCCAGTGTTGCATCTGACTGTGTATTGCTTTAATTTCACTCACTTAATAAAGCAATCTATTCATTACAATAGTTAGAAACATGTTTTCTAGATCAGAGAAACCCTTCTTAAATGTACAGCATTACTTATCTTTACAAGTATAGCAGAGCAAGAAATAACATCCCAAATTGTAATTACATGCTTAGTGCATTTAAATGTGCTAACTAGAACTAAATGGATGTTTTAAGAAAAAACTTTGTTGAAATCAATGATAGTGTTATTTGGGGAAGCAGGATAGGTAGAACACCTGGATGAAAGCACCAGGTTGACCTTTCTTTCCGAAATAGTTCAGCAAGCATTTTCTCAGTAATCCTTTTTCACATGCATTTATTATCCTGATCACTCAAGAAGCAGAGAAGGACACAGTGTTATTACTGTTTGAAGATTTTTGACTCATGGGCTGCATGGGCTCCATCTCCTATAGGCAAAACTTGGCTTTTGCCAGAGGATTTAGACAGAATACCAGCTAAATGGACCACTGGAAGAAGGATCAACAGAAATGTATTTTCAGTGTAGCTAAATGAGTTTCCAGTGAACTAGTAAAATTCTGGTAAATAACGGTGGGAGATGGACTAATCACCTTCATACAAGCCAGAAATCTTTATTCTTAGGGTGCACGAGAGTCTTGGAAAACATGCACAGATATGCGGTGACTAAAGTTTTAATCATTAGACTTTGAAAAGCACTTCAGTCTCTTAATTTTGCTTTAAAACTGCATCTTGGGCTTGCTAGGAAAATAGTGGATAGTCACCTGTTTTTCACAGATTTTTGATCTAACACATTTTTAACACATTCTGATTCAGTCTGTTGCCAAAGTAGGATGTTTGAACAGCTATGGAAGGTTTACAAATGCTTTCCTAGTAAGCAATAGAGGTAGAGAGTCCTTCGTGATTGTATTAACTCGTTCAACAGCTCTTGGTACAATAAAAATCAGCATATTAGTGATTAGCCTACCGAATTGTTAAAATAATGTAATTGTTAAAGTAATGTGAATAAAATATGTGTGAAAGAGATGGAACAATTATCTGGTAAGAGGAAGATACTGAAAGAGGTGGACTTGGAAAGATTTCAGTAACCATTGGTCTCTCTGTGTTTGGTTAAGAATGTTGATGGAACCTGAATAAACTAAGAAACTCAACTGTGGCCTCACATTTTACATGTCTGTCTCTTCTTGTGAATCACAGTCCTTCTTTGTTCATAGCCCAAGAAATAAGAGTTAGTTTGCAATGAGTTAGGAATGAATTGTGGAGAATTCTACTGAAGCATTTCAAAACTGTATTAGTATATAGCTTTTTTCATCAATCTTTCCTTATAAAATGGCAGTTTATGGAACATGATAGTGCGTCATCTGTGGCAGTATCAAAATTGAGTTAGTGGTGTCTCAAGATTTTGTATGCCATTTTTTGGTCAGGCTTCTACATTAAGCTTTTCCTTCCAACTAACCTTGGTAGTGTTCGTGGATATATTGCTATTTCTTTGGCTTCATTTATGTGTGATTCAACCTATGGAAGGCCTTAAGTTGTATATGGAAATCATTCCGAACTGTTTTGTAATGAGGAATTGTTATTTAGAAGGCAAATAATCTACAGTTTCTACAAAATGCTAGATCATGACTTTTTTTAAAACTTATATTAACATGTCTCTATTTCTTTGACACACAGCCCCTGTTCTCCCTGGGGCATATCAGCAAAGCCAGTCTCAAGGATACGGATACATGCACCAGACCAGTATGTCATCCATGAGGTCCATGCATTCACAGCCTCATTCAGCAGGTCTGGTGAGTATTGGATTTAAAGAATGATTTCATTTCATAGAATCATAGAATAGTTTGGGCTGGAAGGGACCATTAAAGGTCATCTAGTCCAACCCCCCTGCAATGAGCAGGGACATCTTCAACTAGATCAGGTTGCTCAGAGCCCCGTCCAACCTGACCTGGAATGTTTCCAGGGATGGGGCATCTACCACCTCTCTGGGCAACGTGTGCCAGTGTTTCACCACCCTCACTGTCAAAAATGTCTTCTTTATATCTAGTCTAAATCTAACTTCTTTTAGTTTAAAACCATTACCCCATGTCCTATCGCAACAGGCCCTGCTAAAAAGTTTGTCCCCATCTTTCTTATGGGTGCCCTTTAAGTACTGGAAGGCTGCAATAAGGTCTCCTTGGAGCCTTCTCTTCTCTATGCTGAACAACCCCAACTCTCTCAGTCTGTCCTCATAGCAGAGGTGTTCCATCCCTTGAATCATTTCTGTGGCCTCCTCTGGACCCGCTCCAACAGGTCCATGTCTTTCCTGTGCTGAGGGCTCCAGAGCTGGACGCAGGACTCCAGGTGGGGTCTCACCAGGGTGGAGTAGAGGGGCAGAATCACCTCTCTCAACCTGCTGGCCACGCTTCTTTTGATGCTGCCCAGGATGTGGTTGGCCTTCTGGGCTGTGAGCGCACATTGCTGCCTCATGGCCAGCTCTTCATGATTAACTGCTCTCAATTCCTTCATCCCCCAGCCTGTATTGATACAGGGGGTTGCCCTGACCCAGGTGCAGGACCCTGCACTAGGGCTTGTTGAACTTTGGTAAGCTTTGGTAAACAACATCATCAGCTGTTATTAAATCTCTTAAATGTGAATGAATTTGTCATCTTGAATAGTATAGTTGGACTATTTGACTGTCCTAGTCCTAAACGTAAGTAATAGTTCTCATGTATAAAAAAAGTTTAAGTGATTGAGGGCTGTGGCAAGAACCTTTATGTCAGAATGCACTAAAAAAATAATTTATGATTTCCAGAAGGCAGATAAATGACTGAATCTTCTACATTCTAAAAGAAATAGTAAATGCTTGGACAGTATTTTACAGGCTGAACTTCGATGCTTTGTGATGAATTAAGGCTCCTAGTGCTGGATGAAAACCACTGATCTCTTAAGATCACTCTGTTGGTTTAAATTTGTTTAAAATTTTTTGATTTGCTGATTTTCCACTAGCAGGCTTTGTGCCTATCTGTATTTTTCATCTCTGCTTCTATAAAGCTAGCTCGGTCTCCATATTGGTGTGCCCTTTCTAGTTCAACAGGGCATGCAGCCACTCGTGTGTCATACAAATTGAGTTACACAGCTGGGCTACTGAGAAGAAGCTTTATCATGAAACCATGGCCACAGCCATGAAGTTCTTCAGTGTGGGAGTGGGGATGGGAATGTAAACCTGGAGTGAATATTTCATTTTAGAACTAAATGGTTATGGAAGGAGAGCTGAATGGGTATTCAGCTGGATTTTTTAGGAAATTGAGCTTATTTTTTCTTTTTGAACTCTTTCTGTGTAAGTTCAGTTTTAGTGGTTATCGTATTTTTTTATCACATCACTTCCTAGAGATTTCATAGTTTGGATCCAGTCACCTTTTACCTTGAAAGTACTTACTCTTTTGAATGTATGTACATGTACTACCTCTGTCACCTTTTGAGAGATGAAGAAGCTTTTTTAGAGCTTGCTGAGTTGAAAAAAACTGTGTTCAAGATTAGCTGAAACTTGTATTTTTCTTAAGAAAAGAAGAAGACTTTCTTTTCTTAAGAAAGCATAAGAAGACAACGTTTTTCATAAGAGTGAAACCATGGCATTTTATATTGTGAAGATAGAATCATAGAATCATTAAGGTTGGAAAAGACCTCTAAGATCATCAAGTCCAGCCATCAACCCAACACCACCATGCCCATTAAACCATGTCCCAAAGTGCCATGTCTACACGTTTTTTGAACACCTCCAGTGATGGTGACTCCACCACCTCCCTGGGCAGCCTGTTCCAATGCTTGACCACTCTCTCAAGTGGTCAAGCATTGGAAAAAGAAATTTACCAGGAAAAAGAAATTTTTCTAGGAAAGAAATTTTTCCTAGTACCCAATCTAAACCTTCCCTGGTGCAACTTGAGGCCATTTCCTCTCATCCTATTGCTAGTTACTTGGGACAAGAGACCAAGACCCACCTCGCCACAACCCCCTTTCAGGTAGTTGTAGAGAGCAATAAGGTCTCCCCTCAGCCTCCTCCAGACTGAACAACCCAGTTCAGTCTGGCGTTCCCTCAGCCGCTCCTCATAAGACTTGTTCTCCAGACCCCTCACCAGCTTCCTTGCCCTTCTCTGGACACACTCCAGCGACTCAACGTCCTTCTTGTATTGAGGGGCCCAAAACTGAACACACTATTCAAGATGTGGCCTCACCAGTGCCGAGTACAGGGGCACAATCACTTCCATAATCCTGCTGACCACACTATTTCTGATACAGGCCAGGACGCTGTTGGCCTTCTTGGCCACCTGGGCACACTGTCAGCTCATGTTCAGCCGGCTGTCAACCAGCACCCCCAGGTCCTTTTCTGCTGGGCAGCTCATGGCATTCTGGGAGGTTTGGGTGCTTTCAGGCTTTCCAGTTTCTCAGCTGCTTGGGGACTGAGGTGGCTAACTGGCTAGGAAGTCTGGGGTCCAGATACCTGCATCTTTGGGAGAGCCAATAACCTGGGAAACTCTCTGGACACCTGCATGACAGCTGTGAGGCCACTGATACTGGAATTAGTGATTAATTTCCAAGGATATTGCAAAGCACTTGGGGAGCTGGCTGCTCCTTGAGGTAACTCTCAAAAGGACCAGAATCCGAAAAATGGGAGACCTGGAAGCCTGGGCTTTGCCAGCGGATTTGCTAGTCGGTGGGGAGCAAAGCAGCCTTCTAATCCAGCAGATGGAGAACGGAGATGCCTGCAAATCTCAAAATGCATTTAACAGCCTTGGCAGTTTTCTGGGCAGGTAGATGGCTAGTATTTCCCTGATATCTGTCTCCCAGTGACTTACCTGGTCAGCTGCCTGTTGAAACAATATCGTTTCAGTCATCCTGAGAATTATCATTTGGCTCTCCTTCCAGAACTGGGAATGGAAAGTTAATAAGGAAGGAAGTGAAATTAAAGCATTTAAAAAACAAAGGATTGACTGAGTGTCTCCTTTCCGCA